AACTATGCTTAGACTAGAAAACCTCATTTTGAACTTTATTTTTTAATTTACTGTATTTTTGGATGGGGTAGGGGTAGGTTGCATGTGAACTGCAGAAGTCATGTAGTAGTCAGAGGACAATTTACTGGAGTTGGTTCTCTCTTTCTACCATGTAAGTTCCTATGACAGAACTCAGATGACTAAGCTTGGCAAGTATCTTTACTCAGAGCCACCTCTCACACCCACAGACCTCACTTTTAAAGGCTGTCAACAAAATGGCAATCATACATATTTACAAAACCAGAAAATATTAATTGACTTCTTCCTAGTGTTGAGCCTCTCATAATCCATAAAGCTAGCCTGATAATGTAACATAAAAGGCTATGGTAATCTAGGATTATTTTAATTGACTTGAACTTTAGACTTAGTAATATGCCAGGAAGAATGCTCAACATTTGTCCCACATAAAAAGTTACTGTTGAGCCAGGCAGTGACAGCACACACTTTTAATCCCAGTACGTGGGAGGTAGAGGCAGGAGGATTTTTATGAGTTTCAGGTCAGCCTGGTCTAATGATAGAGTTCCAGGACATCCAGGGCTACACAGTGAAACCCTATCTCAAAAAACAAAAACAAAACAAAATGAAAAGAAGTTACTGTTGCTACCTTGAACAACCAATTGAGGCCATAAATTGGTTAGTTTATCAACCTGGTAATCAGGCCCTAGCACCTCTCTGGCTGTGCAACCAGGCTTGAGGTAGTGCTGGGAGCTGCAGGCAGAACACAGTACTGAATGTGTTTTCATTTACAGGCTGAGTAAGCTTACTTAAAAGAGATTTTAGGTGCAAAAGGCAAAATACAATTCTCTCTCTCTCTCTCTCTGAGAAAGGAGTCATATATTCCAGGTTGGACTCTAAGTCACTATGTAACTGAGCATGACCTTAAACTTCTAATCCTCCTGCCTCCATCCTCTAAGTGCTGGGATTACAGCAGTGCACCCCTACACTGGTTTATTCACTGTATAGATCAAACCTAGGGTTTCATGCATGCTAGCCAAACAGTTCACCAACTGGATTACATTTCTAGCTCCCTGACTCAAATTTTCAGAAAAGGTCTTTTAACACACCCCATCACCCTTCTGTAGGAAGGTGATCCCTAGTATGCTCATGAATTTTGTTTTTACTGTTTCTTTGGGAGTAAACCCTTTAGTGTAGAACTTAAACACCTTTCCTCAGGTATAATCACGGTGTTCCATGCATGGTATGAGGTTCTTAACATGGCTCAGAAAGATATTTAATCTAGGACACAACTGGTGTGGTTTCTACACTCAACCTGGGGCACTTCCTCCTTGATTTTGACATCAGCTCAATTCCTTTGAGATTCAGTGGCCATTCCACACTTGAATTTCTCACTTCTACCCAAAGGACCTCTCAGCCTGGTCCTCTGCCATTGCACCTATGCAACCCTCTCTTGGAGTGACTATACATCCAGCAGCACACTGTATCTCTCCAATTAGGGGTCTCATAATCACCTAAAATTCAATAACTTCCAATAGTATTCAATGTCTCCTCTGCAAATGTGATTCTCTGTCTTAGAAAAGTGTATGATCTCTGACTTTGTTATGAAGGCCAGAGACCTCTCCCTCACTCCCCATATTTGACCAGTCAGCAAGACCTCCTGACTTCACTGCCTTATCTCTCCAGCCTTGGTCCTATGCTCAGCCCCTATCATCCTTTGCATGGATCACTAGAAATCTTTTAATTCTTTTAAGATCTCTCTTGTTTCCCTTCCTTCTCCACAAGCCTATCAAATTCCCTTTCAAAATGCCTGTCTGATAGCCACACTCAAGTTAAAAAACCAAACAAAACCAAACCACTCTTAAGGTTCCTCACTGGTCTGTGCCTGAACCCAAACACCTCACTGTGGTCTGAGCTAAGTCCGGTTTGCCCATCTGCTCAGGCCTCTGCCTGCCTAATGGACCCAGTTTCCACTCCACTCTCCAGATCTCAACAACCACAGTGGACATTTTTCTGTTACAAAGCCTCTGTCTAGACTTTTAACACATGGCTGTTTTTCTTGCCCTAAATCTGTTCATCTATCCACACTTTAAATTTTCCCCCCTAGTATTTTGGGGTTTTGCCTGCATGCATGTCTGTATGAGGACGCCACATCCCCAGGAACTGGAGTTACAGATAGCTGTGAACTGAACTAGGGTCCTTGGGAAGAGCAGCCAGAGTGGGCCAGTGCTCTTAACCACTGAGCCATCTCTCCAGCCCCCTGTCTACTGCTTTTGATAGCAAATTTCTACTCATCTTTCAACTCTTAGCTCATGTTTGCTTCTCAGTAAAGCCTCCTTTGACCCTTGTCAGGCATTCACACAGCACCCTATCCTTTTCTGGTATTATTTCCCATGGCCAAGGAAAACAATTACTTCCCCAGTAAGCTGAATCTATCTGTCTGCCTTGACAAAAGGCAAGTTCCAAGTGAGCAGAGGTCTGTAACCATAGTCTAGAAAACCAAAGGATCAAGGATCTCTGGGCCTCAATAAAATCAGCCACTTGCCAGCATATAACTTAACCTCTGCTTTTTACTTTCCTCACTTATAAAAATAGGAATAATAGTTTGCTTCAGAGGGTTGTGAGGATATGGTTGGATATGATTATCTATTTGGTGTTTAAGGTATACTGTACTTAGAACAGTGTTTGGCACACATTACATACTACATGTTTGCTAAATCAATAAAAGCAATGACTTGATGCTTGTTACAAAAGTAAGAGAAGTTTGCCAGGTGGTAGTGGTGTATGCCTTTAATCCCAGCACTTGGGAGGGAGATGTAGGTATATGTGAATTCAAGGCCAGCCTAGTCTTCAAAGCTAGGACAGCCAGGACTATTACACAGAGAAACCCTGCCTCAAAAACAACAACAGCAACAATAACAACAACCTAGAGAGAAAGAGAGAGAGAGACAGAGAGAAAGAGAAGCATCATTCTCCAACAGAGGAGTACCTCAGGCTCTGCTAGAGTTGGCAATCTATGGTTACAGCCTTCTGACCTCTTTAATGCACCCTGGTGATTGTGGAATATTTCTGCTTTTTATCACTAGGCGACTCCAGAAAAATTAATCTAATGAAATATGCACATATATAAGATTTATTAGCTGAGAGTGGTGGCACATTCTTGTAATTTTAGCATCAGGAAGGTAAGACAGGGAGGGGACTGCTACAAGTTTAATGTCAACCTGGTTTACATAGCAAGCACCAGGTTAGCCATGGAAAGAAAGACTGTCTCAATAAATGAATAAAGTAAGAAAGAATGAATGAAAATTAGAAGGGCCAGAAAGATGGCTCAACGGATGAAGTGCTAGCTATGCAAGCTGGTGATGGATCCCTGGAACTAATGTAAAAGAGCCCCCAGACGTGCAGATATATTTTGTTGCTCACATACATCTCCCCCATTTACAAAAATAATAATGATGATGATAAAAAAAACAAACAAAACTTTATGATAGGCATAGGTGGCACACCCACCCAGCTCTTGGGAGGCGGAGGCAGGCAGATCTCTGTGGAACTGAGCAAGTTCCAGGACAGTCAGGGCTACACAGAGAAGCCCCATCAGAAAACAAAACAACCAGAAAAAAATTAGAGATGATCCATATTTAAACATGCAGTCATGTAACCCTGGGTGTATGTGACAGAATAAGGTAGCTTTGCTCCCCAGACAGGATGACATTTTTACTCAGTCTGGACTTATCTATGAGCTTCCTTGCTAGCCAGAAGGATGCTGCAGCACCCTCTATTTCAGTGGTTCTCAACACTCCTAATGCTGTGACCCTTTAATATAGCTCCTCACATTGTGGTGGCCTCAACCATAAAACTATCTTTGTTGCTACTTCATAATTGTAATTTTGTTACAATTTGTAAATTTGTAATATTTGTAATGTAAATATCTGATATGCTGGATATCTGATATGTGACCTCTGTGAAAAGGTTGTTTGACACTCAAAGAGGTTACTACCCACAGGTTGAGAAATACTGCTCTATTGGGTCTAAAAGTACTCCATCAGAGCCACCATTGCCAAGGATATGTTAAAGGCCTCTTCTGACCTCAGGTCTCTGTGATAGATTTCAAAGATCTAAATAAAATGACACAACATAATAGACCCTTTTGAGAACTTCTCAAAAGCTACTGACCTTTATGAAAATAACAATTAAAAACAAAAAACCCTCATATACAACCCCTACCATTTGCATATAATTTCATGAGTTGTTGCTTTTGGTTGGCTGGGAGAGGGTCTCCCTAAGTAACCCAATGATGGCCCTGAATTCTCAATCCTGTGGTCGCAGCCACCTGAATATTAGGCTTAGAGGTGTGCACCACTACTTTAATATCAAAGGATTTTTGATTCTCTGAGACATTAGTAGATTTTAGCTAAAAGCTTTAAAATTGTACAAATTCTATGCTTGTAACAAATAATGTTCATTCTCCTGGTCATATAGAAAGTGCCATAACCAGAGGGCCCTTACCTAAAGAACACCAGAGTTCTGCTCCTCACACCACTAACTGACCAGTGAGATCTCAATCTTCTCTCATCTTCAACCCTATCTTCAGAATACAGAGGTGGCTACCATGGTATTGCCAAGTTCTCTACAATACAGCACATCTACACATGTACAATGTCAACCTTTCTCTCCCTTTCCCAGAAATAGCAGAGTGCATTATTCTCCCAGGGAAAGGGGCCATACCTGGGCAGAAGTGAATCACGGCAAAGTAACTAGTCATTAGATCATGAGTACGTATGGCTTAGCTAGCTCAGGTTTCTTTGCTCAGCAAGAATTGGAACTTTATGGGAGAGGTTGTTAGCCCACTTTACTTGATATGGAAATCTATGCTAGACACAGCTGCTGCTGCTTCAGAAATGGATGGCCATGGACTAAGAGAACACCATCAGTTGAAATCAACTCCAGCTACATACTCCTTGATCAATACTTGGGTGCTGTGCAACTATAGGAGATAGATATCTTACCTGTCTGAGAGCTGTCCTGAAATGAAGGAGCCCAACAGCACACCAACGAAAAACAAGGAGATGGTGAATGGACCTTTCCAGTCATTCTGACACACCAGATCCCACTGTAGGAGGAGCAAAGGGATGCATCATTCACTCCTCTTCTGAAACTTAAGGCTTCATGTTAAACAAATTGGCATACCCTGTATCCCCAAATATTCTGAGACCACGAGCTCACTAACACAAGCAATGGCTCCCCTGGACAGCAATGCAGAGAGAGCAGGGAGAGAGCCTCTCCCTCTCCATCTTGTCTTTCACAGCACAGGTTCCCATGTCTTGCTTCATTCTGAGGAGGAGAGAGGAGCAAGCAGCAGCACTCTACCCAGACACTGACCTCTCTTCAGCAAGGTCTGTTGTGCTGACCACTAAGAATCCAGACAGAGCCAAAGGCTGTGGAAGAGGCAAGGTATCCTTGCTCAGGCACTTCAGACCCCTGGAACTGAGGGCGTCTAAGAAGCAAAGCATCCAGGGGAAGATTGAAGCCAAAGGGCCTAGGGAGTCTAGACCTGCTGCTCCTTTGGCTCTGCTTGGGTTTCCACCAAGGCCAATGGCCCCTCATTCCCTGGAATATTGGATACCACACACCAATAGGACTAAGCCCAGTTATGCCTTGGAGCCTAGACTAGGAGTCAGAAAACTTGGTTTTAATCATGTGGTGGTTTGAATGAGAATGGGCCCCATAAGCTAACAGATTTGAAGGTTTGGTCACCACAGAGTGGCACTATTTGAAGGGATTAGGAGGTGTGGCTTTGTTGAAGGAAGTATGACACTGGGGATTGGCGTTGCGGTTTTTTAAAAGCTCAAGCCAGGCCTTGTGGCTGTCTTCTTCCTGTTGTCTGCCTATCTGGATGTAGAACTCTCAGCTACTTCTCCAGCACCATGTTTGCCTGTGTGCCGCCATGCTCCCTGCCATGATGACAATGGACTAAATCTCTGAAACTGTAAGCAAGCCCCAATTAAATGCTTTCCTTTATAAGAGCTGCATGGTTATGGTGTCTGCACAGCAATGGAACACTGAGTAAGATAAATTGCTACTCAAGTGTTAAATAGTTTTTCAATCTCACATAAGCCCCTGCCTATCATACTGAACTGTGCCTTAATTTCCTTGTTTAGAAAACAGAGACTTGGGTTGGAAACAGGATGTACCGTTTTTGAGTTTCTAGACTCAAAATGTGTTCTATCTACAGTTACCACAACCAGGAAATGAGGTGTGCAGGGAGTAGTGGGGTACATAGGGAGACAGTGACACTTAGGCATTTAGCTGCCTTAGCCTAATATGGTTCTGTGGACGGAAGAAAGCTCAAACAGGGACTTTAGTGTTTCCCAGAAAGATAATGCTTGGTCAGAGACCATGTGTGGTAGGAGCCTTTGTAGACCTCACAAGTGCAGCCACCCTCATGGCAACCTAGACCTCCCTCTCTTGGCACCTTCCTGCCTTGCTTGCCTTCCATAGAGCCTGCTGCCTCCCCAGCACTCAACAGAGACATGGGATGGGCTGCTCTCACAAAGGCTGTCTTCCAGGGCAGTGGCAGAGGAATAAATAACTGGGTCTCTCTGCAGTCCTGAGTTTATGCCCTCACCTACACCTGGGTGTGGAGGGTACCCTACTGGCTGGACATAAAGAACCTCTCTTGCCTCCTCAGGCATACTATTAGTTCTCCATTTTAGAGTAGCATGTACTTTTGGATGAGGTAAGTGGGGTGGTGATCCCCAACACAGGGGATAATTGTGAATTTCTGGTCCCCAAGTCAAAGAGGAAGAAGAGACCAGCAGGAGTCAAGCATGCTGAGCATCAGGACCTAGACGCTCTCACTCCTCCAGGCTCCACCTGCCTTGGTGGTGCCAGCACCCAGATCTGGATAGGTGAATAAATGTTCTTATAGTGGCCACCATCTACACATGACTGCTATGCTAACACCAGAACTAGGAGTGCTTGGGGTCATAAAGCTGAAGGAATCAGTGATAGCAGGCAGCTTCTGAGCTTCTGTGAAGTTGTGTGGCATAGACTAAATTATGGCTACTGTCACAAATATGATAAAATCTGTTACTTTAGCTAAAAAACAAAACAAAACAAAAAGACAAAATGAGGATAAGTTGCTGGAAGCTATTCATCAACAGGTCCATTGTGATGGCTGGGGACTGATACATCCATGCTAACAAGAAATCCACTGAGAGGGCTGGGATGAAGCTGAGTTGTTAGAGTGCTTCCTAGCATACATGAAGACCTGGCTTCAATCCTCAAAGCATGTACAGTGGTTCATGTGTATAATCCCAGCTCTTGGGAAGAAGGGTCAGAATGTCAATGTTCAAGGTCATCCTCAGCTACATGTTAATATCAAGGTAACTCTAGGCTACATCAGGCCATGTCTTTATAAAAGAAGAATGAGGAGGTGGAGGAGAAGGAAAAGGAAATGTACACAGGAGTCTATAGCTGAGTTCTAGAGTTGTGGAACTCACTAAGTCTCCCAAACTTTCAAGGCTGGATACCATGTAAAAGCAGGTCAAACTGCTCTAATGGTTCTGCAGTGTCTTTCTGGCTTTCACCCCTCCTGCTTGATTTATACTGTCCTTAGTCTGGGCATGAGCCTAGCTCATTGAAGTAACTATTCTGTCACCCACCACTGACAGTCCCTGATACCTCTCAGGGCCTGGTTTACATTAATATTTGTCTGCTAGTGGCTACAGGGAATTTGTGAGTAAAGTCAGGAAAGACAAGAGTTCTCAAAAGCACAGATGAGTCCCATCTACTCATTTACCTGTCAACTATGATATCCAATGAAGTAGGCATTTGGACTTGGCCTGAATCCTTGTTGTATGGGTGGGATGATACTCAAGGCTAAGTACCCCTGCTTGGTGAGCTTACAGATGAGCCAAGTATTCCTGGACTCATCTGGCTACTCAGCTATAACAAAAGCACCTGAAACCAGATCATCAATGCTTGGTAGGTAGATGGGTGCCAAGGGCCATATATGAAGCTTCGTAGATGGAGAATTGGAAGAGGGGACTTCAACTTGGAGAATATAGAATAGCTGTGACCAGAGGGTCATACTACTTTCTAGTCAGAAATGTGCCTCTCTAGTAGTAATGGGTTCAAGGGTATATTAACTTAGGTGTCAAAGCTTTTCAAACTTACACTTAGATAGATTCTTTATCACATTTATGTCTCAATCACTGATAAGTTTTTTCCAGAGGATCCCATGTCCCCTTGGGCCTCCACAGGCATTACATGCATGTCGTACTTCAAACACATGCATGCAAAACACACATATAAATAAGTCTTAAAAAAAAAAAAAAACCACTGAGCTTTTTTAAAAGAGGAAGAATCATATCATTTATTTATTGTTTCATGCATATGTAGTATATGTATATGCTTGTATGTATAGGCATGGAGACTAGGGGAATTCATTGGGTGTCCTGCTTTATTCTTTTGAGATGGGAGTCTCTCACTAAACAATATAGCCCTGCTTGGCTTGGCTTTCCTCTCTCTCTCTCTCTCTCTCTTTCTCTCTCTCTCTCTCTCTCTCTCTCTCTGTTTATTTTTGAGTCAGGGCTTCACTGTGTAGTGCTGGCTGTCCTGGGACTCATTCTGGAGACCAGGTTGGTCTCTAATTCAGAGAACCACCTGCCTCTGCCTCCTAGAGTGCTGATATCAGAGGTGTTCTTCACCATACCCAGTTTTTTATCCCTCTTTTAAAAAAGGATTTTAAAAAATCTTATGTGTGACATTTTAAAATTTATGTGTTTATGTGAATATATGCCATATGTACATGCTTGCCTATGCTGACCAGAAGAAGGTGTTGGATTCTCTGGAGCTAGAGTAACAGGTGATTGTGAATTGCCTATGGGTGCTAGAAGCTGAACTCAGGTACTCTGGATGAGCACACAGTGCTCTTTCCCCCTTAGACATCTCTTTTGCTTCACTCCTCTTTATGCTTGTGCAGCAAGCGCTCTTACACACTGAGTCACCTCTCAGCCCAAAGAAGCTCATCTCCTGACCTCATAGGTAATCAGCATTCCTTTCAGCTATGGGAAGAATGGGATGGGAGAGAGAGAGAAAGGGGGAGAGAGATGGAGAGAAAGGTCTCTTGGCACGAAATGTTCTTACACCCATAAACTAGCTGGAAGAGAAAAGATATGATCTGGGCCCAAGAGGCAAACGTTTTCCCTGAGGTGTACCTAGTGTGTCTGCATCAGTGATCAAGCATACTAGCAGGTATCACTTCCTACTGAAGGCCGTTAATTCCTAAAACACTTTGTTCTGTTTTTCACTACAATTAATAGTGATGCCTAACTGTGGGAGTTAGGAGTCCCAACAATCAGGAATCTGAGGCAGGAAGATCAGTAGTGATCAGCCTAGGTAACTTAGCACAAGATTCAATTCCACAAAATAAAATTGAAAATAAATAAATAAATAAATAAATAAATAAATAAATAGTGGATCCTTGCCTCAGGGCTCTCAGGAAAAGAGAAGTAGTATTTGCCACAACAACCTCTATTATGCCCACAGTGCTTGAACAGAGGAATGACCTGAGAACTAAGTGATACATGTATGAATAGGTCAATGGATAAAAGAGCTACTGTCCTTCAACACCATCATTTCCTTTAGGGTGTTGGACCTATCTGGCCAAAGTCCAGAGGAATTCCACACTTCAATTTTTAGAATAAACTCTTTTCTTTGTTCTATGATTCCTGACTTTGTGTCACTATCAAAACTCTGTTTCTGGGTGGGTTCTGAGTAAGAAAGAGGCTTATTCGATGGCTCCTGTCAGCTGTGTCCACTATGGCTATTTATGGACAAGGGGTCAGGGGACAGCAAGTGGCTACTTTGGTTTGCCATGTAACTACAAAGGCAAAGATGAGGTCTGTGAATCTTTGGGGCAGGCAGGGGTAAGAAGGCTAGCACAGGCAAGCAGGGAGGTCCTGGCTCCAGGTGTCTTTGATCTCTGTATTTCAAAGTCATGCCAGCCCCAATACCTAGGGTGTTAGGAATTTTCATCCAGTGAGTTGTGGATAGCAGTGGGAAGGAATTCCCATTTTCTAAAATGATGTAGGTGAGAGACAAGACCACTAGAAAATCTGGTTTGGAACAACAGATAGTGAGTTGGAGTACTGTCAATGCCTTGGCAAGAGACTTAGGGAAAGCAGTGTAGGACAATGCAGAGCCATGCCAGACTTTAGCTGAAGGAGCCCTAACTCATAGGCACAAAAAAAAAAAAAAAAAAAAAAAAAAAAAAAAAACACAGAAAATTTTCTGCCTGCAGGCTTGGCTGAGTGTCCATGAAACCCAGAGCAAGTGGCCCAGCAACCTAAGAAATCACCTAGGTTCTCAGAGGACGGAGTAGTACTGGATCAAAAGTACAGCATGGTGGGTAGGAGTTTCCCAGTGTCCCAGAGATGAGCAATCAGAGGGGCCAGCCTGCAAGCATGTAGCTCACCAAGCTTTCCTGAAATGTGGGTTCACAAAGCTCTCTAACCTCATAGAAAGGGTCTTGTTCTTTTGGCCAACCCCACGGTTTTAGACACACACAGAGCCAAGCTGCAGTCAGTGGGGTGGAGAATCACATTTCCCTTAAAACATTCCAGCCAATCTTGTGGCTCCTCAAGCTTCTCTTTTGTCTACCAGACTACTTATCTTAAGCCTTCTAGAAAGGCTCATAATTTATTCACTTACTATTTCAATAAAGAAATTCCAATAAAAAATTACCCTCATTCAGCATCCTATCAAGATTCAGGGAGACACAGAAACTGAATCTACTGCAAAGCTTAGTACTTCATGTATGTAATTTAACTCAAAAGAGAAAAAAGAAGAAGAAAAGAAAAAAAGACAAGAAGAATTCAATATCAGTATACTTAAATGATCTCTACCTTTGATTTGGGGTAGAGGGCAGACTCAGAGAAATAAAGCAGGCAGGGGACTGACTAGCTGCAGTGGTTATTAGCAGGCCAGAAAACAGGTCTTGGGAAAAAAAGGTCATCAGAATGTTAATGCAGCAGCTTTCGACAGTGGCTGCTCATCTGAGAGGACAAGCCTTGAACGCCAAGTTCCAATATTCCCAAACAAAAGGGCTAAGTAAAGTATTAAACTCACCTCCTGCAAAGACTGCTGACCTGTAAGTAGGTGAAAGGGCATATAGCTCTTATGAAACTGCTAAGACAGCTCAATAACATCCAGATCCATTGGGGGGAAAAAGGCATGCTGACATTGACAGCAGGGGTAGGTCAAAAGGATCTGGACTTTTGCTGCTCAGCCTTCCTCTGGGGAGCTCACTAGTACTGCTTACACCCCAGGCAGCAAGCAGGGTGACAGTGAGTGGGCATAAATAACTTAGAGGAAGCCCAGCACCCTCAAGGTCAGGGTAAACATTCAAGAGTCATCTGTAAGCTGCTTCAGATTTCAACTGCCCCTTCTTTGGGTAGCCACAAAGACATTTGAGGAACTGGTGTGCCAACCTCAACAGCCTCTGCTGTCATAGTTCCCACTTGCTTCTAAGTTTGCAGATCAGGATGAGCAACAACTGAAAATCTCTTCTCTGTGGACTTGTAGATCAAAAGCACTAAGTTAGTCAGTACTGGTTTTTTGTTTTGTTTTTCCTTTGTGTATCCCTGGATGTCCTGAACTCACTATGTAGACCAGGCTGGCCTTGAGCTCAGAGATGTGCCTACCTCTGCCTCTAGAGTATTGGGATTAGGGACATGTTCCATCACCACCCAGCATAATTAGTGATGCCTGGCCCTGGCACGATGTCACTAGGTTAAAAATCCCCAAAGGAGCTCAGGTTTCACTCTTACTATTTACGTATGTAGTAGGTAGGCACAGGTCTTGGAGACATCAAACTTCAAACATCCAAAGAAAACAGGCAGTGATTTGTATGGGGATGCTCTTGGAATCTCTCCTTGAAGGATGACAACCCCCTGAAGAAACATACCTGGGGACTGTAGAGCCCTGTAAGGAGGGAAGCTTAGTCTCTGCCTCCAGGAGGCTGAGATGCCATAAGGACAATAAGCTTATTGTTCTTTTCTAGACATCCCCTGTAACCATTTCTTACTGTTGGATCTGGACCTAATGGCTAGGTTCAACAAGAAGCTATCTCCTCTAGGAAGCCCAACTGGTCAATCCCTATCCCTGACATTCAGTGACACTGTTGCCCAATGCTATCACATAAGGCTCTTTCATTGTTCTGCATACTCAGTACTGCTGGGGGTCCAGGAAATTACAATTGGTGGCTAAGTCCCAAAAACACATCCACATGCACCATTAAACAGCATGTCACATTTCCAGATGAGAGACTGCAAGGGGTCAAAGTCAACCAAGAAGAAAGTGCAAGGGGCTGAGGACACAGGTTTCCATTGCTCTCTACAAAAAGTTTATATGCCATAATTAAACCTCTCCAGTGATCTTGTCTCAGAATACTGTGGGAAGATTCCATAGAAAGTCACCCTAAATAGATCTTCAGACCCAGGGGTCCTTAACAAATAACAATCCACCAGTGGCATGTCTCACAAGGCAAGATGAGACTTTTTTTGGGTTGAGGATAGGTGAAGGAGGCAAGAGTAACTAGAGAAATGGAAGAGCGTTTGGGACCCACATTTCCTGAACTTGAAAAGTTCTTCTAAGGATATTTCCTTTCTGAACATAGACAATAAGCCGGTGGCACTTCTCTGAACCAAGTCCTAACTCAGCTCCTCTGGATTATATCACTTGGGGTCTCAGGGCATCTCCTTGGGACTGGACCTTCTGGACTCCATTTCAATGTGGCTCTAAGGGCAGATGGCCAGCCTGACACTTGTACTCTCAGGGACATACTGTGGCTGGAAGTGATGTCACAGATTCATGTTCCTGGGTGTCCTGACTGGAGGATGCTCATTATCAGGGGCCTGTGCGTTGGACTAAGGACTACAACTGTTGTCTGTGGTTGTCATCAGACAACCTGCTACCTACCTCGGTCACGATGGTAGAGAGGAAGACATCCTTGCTGTACTCCCAGCCATCCAGGCAGTCTTCCTGCTCCAGCTGGTCCAGGTCCACGTCCAGTCCCGGTTCCAGGCCCAAAGCGGAGAAGTTGGCGATGGTAGCCAGTCGGTAGCGGCGGCAGCTCTGGGACACCTGTTGTCCGTCCTTCGTCTCAAACGGGATGCTGTGGTTGCGCCACGCGCTGCTCAGGTTCACGGTGTCAGGCACACGGCAACGGTGCTCCGGGGTCCCCGCCAGGAACACGATTGACATACCATTGAAGCCATTGGGGATGATGCTGGCGCTGAGTAGGAAGAAGATGAGGCGCTGGAAGGGTCCCCACTCGCCGAGGAAGGCGGTCACCTCGTCGTAGTCCCGCATGCTGTCCTCAGCTGCCCACGGCGCCCGGCCGGGGTTCAGGGGATGCCGCGGCGCAGGAGACTGGGCGCTGCGGGCGTCTGCTAGTGGCCAAGGAACAGGCTCGTGCGTTCCCACGGAAGCCTCAGACCCGGCCACTACCAATCTTACATAGGGCCCTGAGGCCGGGGCGGGCTCTGGGCCTGGGCCTGGGCCGCAAGGCCCGCCCCGCCGTCCCGGCTCTGAGGCACGGAGCGGCGGGGGCGGGGCAGGGGACTGAGTGACGCTCAGAGGGCGCCGGTCGCGCGTGCGCCTGAGGCGGAGCCGAGCTAGGATTCAGAACTGGCTGGGCGGTGCGGAAGGCGGGGCTGAGACTGGCTCCAAAGCTGGGAGGGCGGGGAGGGGTGTGGCCTAATATGGCCCGCCCCGTTCGCCAGTCTGTGTGTGCCCTGGGTGGAGTTCCGCCAGACTGTACCGCTACAGATCTTGGGGCAGAGAGTCTGTGGACCGTGCCCCGAGCAGATCTGCTCCGCGGGGAGGGATTACGTATCTTCAGGTCAGGTCTAGGAGTAGATTAGCAGGGTTCCTTTGAGGAGGGGGTGACTCTGAAAACATTTTGTCCAAGGCCAACCTGGGCATTCACTGGCTTAGAATTTAAGGGTGAAATAGCCTATCTTCTCAATCTTTTTTTGTGGGTCAGAAGGTAATGTGGCCATCTGAGCCTCAATGACAGCAGCCTTTGTCGCAGTTTTTCCTGGAAAAAAAAAAAAGCGGCATCGTTTTGGGGCTGCAGCTCAGTGTTTAAGAACCTAGGTTGCAACCAGCGCTCAGGAGGCAGAGGCAGGCAGAACTCTGGTCTATAGAGTGAGCTCCAGGACAGCCAGGGCTACACAGAAAAACCCTGTCTGGGATGGGGTGGTGAGGTGGGGGGCGGAGAGCCCAGATTGCTTCTCCAGACGACCTGGACTCTCTTCCCAACATGCATAGGGCAGCTCACATGAGCAACAGACAGGTCTTTGGTGCATAGATAGGACAGACTTGCAGGCAAAATACTCCAAAACAAAATAAAATAACATTTATATTTAAAAAGAATGAATTTTGAGACTGGTCATGAGAAAGGGGGCAATGAATTTTAGTTCCCAGACTCCCACTCTGTGTTTTATGTTCTTAAATCATTTTGTTGTTTCTCAATTGATAAAAGGCATAGTAAAAAATTAATTTCAAGATTAAGGATCTTAGTCTAGGATTGAACCCTCAGATTCGTAAATTTTACAGTTAATTCAGGAGTCAATTAATTCAAAACAAACAACAACAAAATTGCAGACACCTTTCCAGGCCAGCCAGGGCTACACAGTGAAAGGCTTACCTTCAAACAAAAACAAACAAAAAACCTTATCATGAAACCCAGTATTTTGTCGAGTAATGTATTCTAATTAAAAAAAAAAGGGGGGGGGGCATGAAAACTAGCAACTGTGTGATTCCACATTGCCTAATAAAATGAGAAGTTCCACTTGTAATTTTATTTTTATTTATATTTTGGAGATAGATTTTGCTATATGGCTCAGACTTGATCAACAGCTTTGACTTCAAGTGATCCACCCTCCTCATCAGGAGCACAGACAACAGGTGTGCACAGCAGGTGTACATTATAATTAGAGTTGTTTTTGTAGCTCTTGTATTGTAATATTTCATGTTGCTGAGACAAAATACTGGAGAAAACCAACTTAAGGAAGGAGGGGTTTGTTTGGGCTCATGGTTGGAGGGGTAGGGTCAGTCACTCTGGGAAGGCATGGTGGCAAGAGTATGAAGCTGCTTGTCATTTGTCCTCAGCCATGAACCCAGGAGTGATAGATCTGGTACCCAGCTTGCCTTCTCCTTTTTATTTAGTCCAGGACCCCAGGCCATGGAACTGATGCTACTCACTGTTAAGGTTAGTCTACCCATTTCAACTAACTCAGTCCAGAAACTTCCTAACAGATATACCTAGAGGTTTCTCTGAGATGATTCTAGGTGCAATAAGGTTGACAACATTAACCATCACATTTAAAATTAACCATATTAATAAAATTTGCAGATTTAGTAAATGAAAAATATATCTGTTAAACTAAAATTTTAGATAAAGAAGAAAAAATTTTAGTTATAATTAGGTCCCCTGTAGGGATATAGGAAATTGTGTTGTGCCTTGTGTTCTACCTGGCAATGCTACATAATAAAAGCTTTTAGAGCTGAGGTGTGGATCAGTAGGGGAGCGCTTGCCTCAAATTTGCCAGGTCCTGAGTTTGATCCCAGCACATCTTCTGTTAAAAAAAAATGAAATTAATTATAATAACATATTTAACCTAATGTATGAGGAACATGATTATTTCATCATAAAATTGACATGGAAATTACAAATGCATTTGATTCTTATTAAAAATCATTAATCTCTCAGGGCAGTGGTGGAACATGCCTTTACTCCCAGCACTTGGGGGGCAGAGGCAGGTTGATCTCAGTGAGTTTGAGGCCAGCCTGGTCTACAGAGTGAGTTCTAGGACAGCCAGGACTGTTACACAGAGAAGCCCTGTCTTGAAAAGCAAAACAAAAAACAAAACAGACAAACATTAATTGTAGTGAGGTAGTCCTTCTGTAGCACTGGCCACGCCCATTGGGGGGTGGAGCGATGGGCGGAGGTGACCTGAGGAAGGAGGTCGGAGGGGGCCAGGAAGGCGCTCTCTCTTTCTATCCTGACTCGGACAGGAGAGGATCGGGTTGAATTTCCTGGTGTTCATCTGTCTAGGTTGTAAGTTATTTCTCCCTGATTAAACATCTATTCGGCCTATTTGTTTATCCTGATCCTTATTTACCGCAATAATTAATCCCATTTTTCATACTGAGTCTGAGGAGTCCAGTATGTTCTTAAAGCACATTTCAATGGAGTCTGGTGAGGCACACCTTTACTTAACAGCTACATCTAGTTACTACCTCACTGGTTTTAAGGCCTTTAAGAATTTTGGCTGCTATTAATAATTTAAAAGTTACAAGATATCCCTGTCTTGTAAAAATGCCTTTCAAAGTTTTTGTGTTTTCTCATATCTTATTTTATTTTATTTATTTGTTTTTGTGGTCCCAGGGATTGAACCTAGGGCCTATGCATACTAGTCTGTTTTAAAACAGCAAAATTATGATAGTATTTAATACAGGTTATGTCCTAAACTGAAAAGAAAATACAGAAGGTAATCTAGCATTGCTGCCAGTTCTTAGACAAGGAAATATAAATGTCTTAGCCAAGGTTTCTATTGCTGTAAAGAGACACCATGACCAAGGCAACTCTTATAAAAGAAATACTTAATTGGGGCTGGCTTATAGTTTCAGAGGTTTAGTCCATTATCATCATGGTGCTGTGCAGGCATGGTGCTGCATGAGCTGAGAGTTCTACATCTTTATCTGAAGGCAACAAGAAGGAGTGTACGTGTCATACTGAGCATAGCTTGAGAATATGAGAATATGTGTCAAAGCCTACTTCCACAGTGACACAGTTCCTTCAACAAGGCTACACCTATTCCAACAAGGCCACACCTCCTAAATAGTGCCACTCTCTACAAGCCAAGCATTCAAACACATGAGTCTATGGGGGCCATACCTATTCAAACCACCACAATAGACATTTCCATTCAGTGAAGGAATGAATATGCTGGCAAAGTGAGGGCTTTATATAGGCTTCCAGCAGAAGGTGCAACCCACCTCAAGATCCAGATCAAAAGCATGTTGTCTTCCTTCCTCAAGATCCAGATCACAAGTGTGCCCTTCATTTCTGGGCTGTAGTTCATTCCAGATATAGTTAAGTTGACAACCAAGAATCGCCATTACACCTGGGATTCACATGGTAGAAGGGAAGAATTGACTCTGACAGATTTTTCTCTGCTCTCCACATGTGTGTGCAGTGGCAATGGCATGTACACACACACACACACACACACACACACACACACACACACAAATCTAATTTTAAAATTTAAATTCAGGTGAAAAGTGACTAATGAAGATACCCATGTCAGCCTCTGGCTACTGCACATGCATACATGTGTAGTACATGCACACACACGTGCAAACCCATGTACACATGCCAAAGAAGCTTATACTAAATGGATTCAAACATAAGCAGATATGACAGTGGACCTCCTAGATGGCAATCAATGTTCCCTGCCTCCTGGTATTGCTAGCCCATGAAGGTGTCTTACCTCTTGTGTCCCATTGGTGTCTGTAACTAACAATAAAAAGTAGTAATGAAGGAACTGGCAAGGGCACCTTTGAAACTGTCATTTGACCTCTTTGTCTTAATGGATTCTGTTTTGACCCTCTAACCTGCTCTCTCTTTCCCAGTTATTTCTTCCTCCCAACTGACTTACTCAGTGTTCTATTGCTGTGCAGACAACATGACCATGGTAACTTGTGTATAGGAAAACATTTAATTGGGGCTTGCTTACAGTTTCAGAGGATTAGTCTATCATCATGGCAGGAAGCATGGCTGCACGCAGGCAGACACTGGTGCTGGAGAAGTAGCTGAGAGTTCTACATTCAGATCTGCAAGCAACAGGAAGAGAAAGAGAGACTCTGGGTTTGGCATGAGCTTTTGAAACCTCAAAGCCCACCTCTAATCGTAATCCTTTCAGATAGTACCTCTGCCTGGTGACCAAATATTCAAATATGTATGAGCCTATGGTGGACATTCTCATTCAAGCCACCACACCAACTTAATTTGAATTCCAAGAATGGTGAACTCAGCAGCCATCTGCTGGGAACTAACAAAGCAGTCCCAGCTTCTATAGATCTCTGATGCCAGCAGGATCCCCAGAACCAACTCTGAGATCAGGATCCACCAAATCACTGACTGAGACCTTAAGGCATACCATAACCTTTTGTGTCTGTTTTTGTTTTGTTTATTTTCTGTTTATAAACTTGGAGCTATTACAGTTTTTAAAATTTTTTACTTTTTTCTTTTTGATTTAATAAAGTTTTATTTTTCCAAATGTACAGCTGATTGAACCTGTTTATGCATCTTCAGCACCTGGGGCATCTCCACCCTTTGTGTTTCTGGTGTAAATTACTTGGGCTCTGTGCTTTGAAACCAGCTTGATAAGTCCTTTACTAAGCAGCTCCTGAAGGGCTGCTCT